GGCGGCCGGGGGGAGGGCGCCGGGGGGGAGGGCAGCCGGAGCCCTTGGAGGAGGGTGGAGTGCCCGGCCGGGGCTCCGCTCTTCCCGGCCAGGGCTCCGCTCTCCCTGGTGGCCAGAGCGCCGCACCGCGCCGCCCCCCTCCAGGTGCCGCCCCAAGCTTGGTGGGCTGGTGCCTGGAGCCGGCCCTAGTCTGAGCCCCACAAACACAAAGCATAATAGTGAGAAACAAGGACCTCTAATTAAGATAGTAAAAAAAACATGCACTAAATATCTGTTGTACAATGGACGGGGGGAAAGCTGTTTTGAATTAAATTTGTTTCTTTAAAGTTTGGCTCAACTAGTCCCCCTGGGGAAGCAAGGGCCCTGGGAATTATCTTGATGGGTTTTTTTCCTTAAGTGACTTCATTGGCGCTGGAACTAGAAGTGTGGGGGGTGCTGTAGCACCCCCTGGCTTGAAGTGGTTTCCATCATATACAGGGTTTATAGTGCACTTCAATGGCTCTTAGCATCTCCAGTATACAAATTGTTCTAGCATCCCTAAGTGACTTGTGAAAACAAGCAGAGAGACAGCAATATAAACTGATATCTGTTTAACTTCAGAGTACGTGCTGCAGGAGCTTCCCCCGGGTGCTGCCCTTCTAGTGTATCCATCAAGACTCTGGTGGGAGGATGACCAGAGTTCCCTGTATCTATTCACCCTTGTTGTCTCTGTTGAACCTGCCTGTAGTGTTGTGGATCCTTATCGTATTACAGTAGCTCCTAAAGGTCTTATTGTGGCAGGAGCCGAACAAATATATAACGAGAGAAATCCCTGCCCCAAAGAGCTTACCATCTAAATAGACAAGACAGACCGAGGGTGGGAGGAAGGAAATATTATCCCCACTTCTCATGTTGGGACCTGATCGAGTGACTTGCCCAAGGTCACACACAGGCAATTGGTGGCAGAGCTAGGGATTGACCCCAGATCTCCTGAGTTTCCAGTTAGAGTCTTTAACCGAGCGACCATCCTTCCATTCAGCCTGGAAGCCTTTAAAAGGGAAGCGTGGGTATAAGGGCTCATTCAAAAACCTTTCTGCCTTTAACGTCTCTGTCACTTCTAGACTGATGCTTAATAATGGAGTTTGTTTCCTTAGAAGAAGAAATTTCAGCCATCCGGGATTAAATCCTTGAGCAAAAAGAAGGGAATTAATCCTTCCCACATACCCCTGTAAGAGCTGGCCTGCAAAGTGACTTGTGTAATTTGGCATAGGCAAAGATACCATTAGAAGAAGTGTAGTTCTGGCACCATATTGATTTAAGATGCCTCTCTGAACTGGACTGAGACCACAACTAACCTCACAGCTGTCAGAGAAGGATATCTTGTCACTACCAGCCAAGCCTAGTAACCAGGAAGGAAAAGGCCCCATATCGCGTTGCCAATCCCCTAAAACTGTCAGTCCTGGAATAGCAAGGTTCTGACCCTCCCTCCCTCATCTGTGTGGCTAAGCATGCCTCCTCATTTAATAACTTCAATATTGGAACAGACAGCTTTATGGGGAGGGGGGGAGAAACTACCTAATTATGTTAAATGGTGAGGCTTCAGGGGGTCTAGTGAGTATGTAACGTGCAATTAAATTTTCCATAATTAAGAACTGCTCTGATATTGCGATAGTCTCTTGAGTAAATACTATTTGCATTTCTCCTTTTTATACAGGCACATCCTGTATTTTACTGATTAGCAGCTTCCGTTTGGTCTCCAGGGTGAAATGGGGGAGAAGCAGCATTTTGTCGCTTTTCATGAACAACTGAAATAAAAATCAATATTCAAAATCTGTTTAAATGGCTTTTGATGTTGTGACAAAATCCAGCCTACCCAGCGTTAGTGCTTAGTTCCAGCTATGCCAAGGTATTGCATCTATGCCAAGGTATTGCATCTATAATATGGCATCTTAAGCTGTACGCGCTGTGATATCTAGGCAGAACGGGGTAAGTTAAGGATGAGGGGCCGCTCTTCATTTTGAATTTCCTGGTTTTTGCTTGTTTGTGTTGCAGCTTTATTGGTTATTCCCATTTTTAAAAGCAACAGTCTTTGTGTTAAACTAGAGAGTGGAGGAGAGGTCTTATGATCGAGGCACTGTGCTGAGATCCAGAAGAGACCAATAGTGTCTCAGAGCTGTCAGTTTGTCCTGTGTTTGCACAGCCCCTAGCACCATAGTCCTGGTCCCTGACTGGGGCTCTTAGGTGCTACAGTAATACAGATAAATAATGACCCTGGATTCAGTTCCCAGCTCTGCCACAGCCTATCTCTGTGACCGTGGGCAAGTCACTTCACCTCTCTGTACTTCCGTTTGTAAGGTAGTAATGCTACGACTTCCTTTTTCCGTCCTGTCTCTTGTTCTCTGAGGAAAGGATGGTCCTTTATTGTGTTTATGTGGTGTCTAGCACAAGGCTGATCCTTGAGGCCTCTAGGTGCTCCTGTGAACAAAAAATGACACTTTAGTGTATGCGCTACATATTAGATGGCTCAGTAAATGCAATGAGATAAGAACAGTTCTGTGCCCAATCCCTACAATAGCTAGACATGCCAAAACCGTTCCTAAATTTGAGTGTAATGCATGTGGACTGTAAGGGCTGGATAGAGACCCACTGACACCCGTTGAGAAATCCCACTGATTTCTTTGCATAAGTAAAGGTATTGCCACGGGGCCCTAAATGATGAAGCGTGTTGGTGTTGATGTAATTTTCATGAAGCACCTCTCTCATACGATATCTTTAGTGACTGAAAACTTTGAAAGGAGATCTGGAACCAAGTGTTGCAGTCAATATGAGCTAATTGATTGCATCTTTGATTTTTTTCCCCTGTGGTTCCACATCAAGGCTCGTCATGTTTTAGAGAGAGTCCCACCCACACCTTGTACCAATGGAACATGCGTCCTGTATTTCTCTGCAGGCCAAACGTGTCTTAGGGAGCAGTAACGGAGCACAAATTGTTTGGACTCAGCAGGTTCAGTGTGTCATTGTTCATGCTGCTGTTCAGTCAGAAAGAGCGAAGCTCAAAACAGTTGGTGGAAGTTCACAGAGGAGGCCCAGTGCACCTTTCCCAGCTGTAAATCAAATTAAACACAAATGGAGAGAAAATATCCTGCAATGCATGGAGAATAAGAGTGTCTCCTTGGTTACAGAAAACCACCAGGAAGAGAATGCTTGTGCTGCTCATTTGCTTTGTTGTAAGCCCCTAGCTTCTGCCATTTGCCTAATTAAACACAATGGTCAGAGCCCTTCAGGTAAATATTTGTATTGTGACAGTGCCTGGAATGTCACTGCCATGCAAGGAGTTGGGATCTGATTGTTCTATTCCCATTGACTTCAGTGAGAGTGGAGGGAATTCAGCACCTTGCAGGATTGGCCCTGGATTTTTTTAGCAGGCATCTGGGAGGCTGAATGTCACAGTTTCTGTCTTCAGACCTGGCAAGGTTTCGCTGGGGCTGAGCGCCGCCGCTGAACAGAATGGCAGGAGGGGAAGGGAGAAAACGTATTAAACCCTCTGCGCCAGCAGGCAGGGACTTCAGCTGAGGGCTGATACAAAATGGCCTTGCAATGGGGAGCTGGGGCCCCAGGGCGGGAACACCTATTTGGTGGCGTTTTAAATGTGCTAATCAAGTGTAGATTGCCAGGCTTTCTAGTCAAACCGTTTTCTGGTTCCAAAATCAATAACCCAGTTAAAAATCCTAACCGGGCCCTGAATAACCTGCTCAAAGAGGCAAGAACAGTGACAAACTGCGACCAGATCGAAAAAAGCCCAGCAGCAGAGGCCAAGGGAAATGGCAGTGTCCATTCTGCAGCTGCAAACCAGCTCTTTGAACTGGTGGCCTGGCTGGCACTCTTTGCTTTCCTTGCCCTTTGAAGCCAGTAAGTACCATTTCACGCCAGTTCTCCCCTGTTTCTCAGACTGTCTGACCTGTCTTCTCTCTGCTCTCCTGCAGGCAATCGTTCTGGTGCACTGGCTGCTCACGACATGGTGAGTCATTTGTACGCTGCTCGGACCTGGTGAGAAGAGGGGGTTCTTGAGGACTGAGAGTCAGCTCGTGATGGGTTGGGTCACAGAAGCTCCCTCAAGACTGTCACTAGATGTGCTGGGATCCCACTGAGAACAAACCCTTCTGCCAGAAAAGGCTTCCCTCCACTCCCGTTTCTCAGTTAACTGGGACTTTTCCAGTACCCAGTCTTTCTAAACCCCAAATACATCCGTTTTAGTCTGTATAAAGTTTATACAGGGTAAACTCATAAATGGTCTGCTCCCTATAACACTGATAGATATGCCCAGCTGTTTGCTCCCCTGGGTTTTAATTATTTACTCTGGGTTAATTACTAAACAGACATGATTTTATTAAGTATAACAAGTAGGATTTAAGTGGTCCAAGTAATAAGAGATAGAACAAAGTAAGTCACCAAGTAAAATAAAGCAAAACACGCAAGTCTAAGCCTAATACATTTCAGAAACTGATTACAGATGAAATCTCACCCTTAGCTATGTTCCAATAGACTTCTTTCACAGACTGGACTCCTTCCTAGTCTGGGCCCAGTCCTTTTGAGATCAACATTGTAGGTTATGGCCTGGGTCCAGCAATCACTCACACCCCCGTAGTTACTGTCCTTTGTTCCAGTTTCTTTCAGGCATTTCTTTGGGGTGGAGAGACCATCTCTTGAGCCAGCTAAAGACAAAATGGAGGGGCTTCCAGGGCCTTTTATATTCCCTCTCTCTTGTGGGCGGAAACCCCTTTGTTCTTCTGTGCAAAATCACAGCAACAAGATGGAGTTTGTAGCCACCTGGGCAAGTCACATGTCCATGAATGAGTCAACTTTTTACAGGCCGATGCCATTGTTTACATGTTAGTTTGAACGTTCCCAGGAAAGCTCAGATATGGATTGGCGTCTCCCAAAGTCCATTGTCAGTTAAGTGTTTCTTGATTGGGCACTTATTGAGAATAGTTCTTTCTCAAGAAGCTGACCAAATGCTTCACTGAGGCTACCTAGAATTAAAACACATTGAGCTACAAGTACATAGCCAATATTCATAACTTCAGATACAAATATGATACACACATACAGACAGCATAATCATAACCAGCAAATTACAATCTTTCTGTAGACACCTTACTTAACCGCCTTTGTACAAGATTTGGTGCAACTATAGGATCTTGGTTGCAACAATGATCTATACGGTCACAGTTCATGTCGAAAATGTCACACTGCTGTTTTGGTGTTGGGGGAGCACTCTCTGCACAGCATTCTTCTCTGCCTGACTATAATATAAGCACAGCATAGTGGCGTTGGTGTGAACCTGGGGTGGCTTCTCTCTTAAATCATGCCCCTGCCCCATGACCTTTTTCACAAGCGGAGCTGGGTCCTGTTTGGGTGGCAGCATAAGGCAAAAGCCAATGAAATGTGTCTCCGAATGACTCGCTGATGACTCTTCTCTCTGTCTTGGTCCTGGCTAGCGCTCCAGCGTGGTGCTGGGGGTACCTTGCCGCTGGGGGTGCTGTCTTTCAGACACAAGGTAAAAATGACAAACCACACGGAACTTAACGCTCGTCTGGTGTAAATCGGTGTTGCTCTGTCGGCTTCAAGAGAATGAGGTGGAAATCAGGCCCAGGGCTTCCTGTCTTTCTCCTACCTACTTACATGGCCTTGCAAGAGGGCTGCCACCTCCTGAGCAGTCCCTTGTGGCTAGAATTCCCTATGCAGTGGCCTCCCTCTGCTCTGCTCTCCTAACCTCTCCACAGCCTTTCTTGTAAGTCCTGCCGCCCTCCACTTGGGGCTGTGTTAATGACCTCCAGCAGTTCCACCAGTAGAGTCCCATCACCACAATTCAACGGTTCACGCTTAGCTCTGGCTCTTCCGCCGTCCACACACAGCTCGTCCCTTGCCACAGCCGGCTCTTCGCAGACTTGCCTCTCATTGCTGTCTCTCCCTGGAGTTTAGCCTTCTGGTTGTGGCTTCCTTCTCTTGCCAGCATCTCCCCTGTATTGAGGAAGAAGGCTGCTTATATACTACCTGCCTCAAGAAAGCTCCTCCTGATTGGCTGGAAGAGAGGGGAGTCCTGACCCATCCTACACTACAGGGCTCCTGATCCCGGGCCCTTAAACCCCAAGACACTGTTCCTTTTCCTCCCATCAAACTCCTAATTCCCTGGGATCGCGTCCTCTCTTCCTGAGCTTTTTCTGAGCCTTTGCTCATTCCATCTTCTTGGAACAGGGTCTTTTGGCCCCCTCTACTCTGAAAGGGCCAGTATACCTCATTATAGGCCCTCATCACTGTAGTATCTGAATACCTGCCAGTCTTTATAACCCCCCTGTGAGGTAGGGCAGTGCTATTAGCCCTCATTTCACGGGTGGGGAACTGAGGCACCAAGAGGCTAATGACTTGCCCAGGGTCACACAGGGAGTCCACGGCAGAGCAGGGATTTGAACCCAGATCTCTTAGGCTGGTCCCTCACCGTGGAATCATCCTTTCTTGACCACCTTGTCCATTTAAAAATCTCTTGTCATGGTTAGCACAAGCAAGATTAACTCAGCTGTCCTGCCCAAATTCCCTTGCATGTGTATTAATGCATCTCTGAGGCATTCTTTGTCGTGGTATCTAGATACGAATTATATCAGTATGAAGTAGCAGAAGATTGCTCGGGATGGCTGAACCGAACTCCCTGCCAGTCTGCCACCTTTTAGATTTAAGATGCTACTCAAGAAGAATCAAACCAAGATCGCTGGGGCCAGTTCCACCAGCCACTTTCTTAGGAAGAGGCTTGCTGGAAAAAGCTGAGTTTTGCAGTGCATACTGCATTACATCCCATCTATGACCCCTGTAGCTTTAATTGACTATAATATCCTTCACTTCTTGTTCTAAACTTCCTTCATGCTGTTGTGGGCTGCTAAACAGCTGTCATTTCCCCATGGAGGTGGCTGCGTTTCAGTGATGGGTGAAGATCACACTATCTGTATAGGAGAGAGAGAGAGTGGGGCTGTTAAAGCACTTTGGAATCCGTCAGCATTAAAGGTGCATAATGAATGTAAGAAGCTGTCAATTATTTGATTTACACTACAGCAGTGCTTAAAGGTCCCTGTCACAGAGAGTTTCTGTGGGGCCCATTGTATTAAATTTATGAATGGCTTATGTATAGGCTTGGCAGAATTCAATTTTTATCATTTGATCATTTCAATGGGCAATGTCGATTATTTGAAGCATTTTTTTTGTTAGATTTTATCGGTTTAAATGCCCACAGTTGTGGGAAATTACGGGGGATATCAGACAATGAAGGGAGTCCGGTAATAATTATTCAATGGCGGTAGACATTGCAATTCAGAAAGCTTTATCACTGTTAAAACACAAGCTATCAACGTCGCATGTCAAAATATACAAAGTCGATATCCTTAAATCAAACTCGAGTAAGTTCTCAAGCAGCATTGTTCTTCCTTTGCCTAGCTGTACGTTTTGATTATCATTGATGGAAATATTTTTTGTCGGGGTGCGTGTGTGTGTGTGCACGTGTGTGTAGTGAAATCGATGTTTATAAACATTTACCAATACAAATCGAACCTTTTCAAGCCTATTTATGTATCCATGTGGCCCAGAGATCGTACGCAATTCCAGGGGGAGGGTTACCAGCATTCCTCCAGGAAACAAAAGCAGCAGGGGGCGATTATGGTGAATCACTTACTTTGTAAACCCCTCCAGAGCAGTACCATCCAGAGGGAGGCTTGTATACGCTGGGTCAAACTGGATTTTTCAGAGACCAACAGACCAAGAAAGGACTTTTGGCATAAAAAGACGGAGTTTCAACTGACTCGGGGTCTTCCTTCTGATCCAGCAAATGGACAGAACCCTCTGTCCATGGTGGGACCCCCACCCTTGCAGAAGGACTGGAAAGACATTGGCCTCCTCTAGGGCCCCATTAGACTGCTGGGTGACTCCTGGTATGTGTGCTTAAGCCTGTTCATTGCTTTCATTATGTTTTTTCTATGATGCTTTTACCCTAAGAATAAACGTGCTTGTTTGAAAGAGCTGTGTGATAACTTGTAAGTGCTGGCAACACACTGTTCATAGCCCTTGGGGAGGGAGCAATGCATAGGGGTTAGGCAATCTGGCTTGCTGAGGATATCACAGGGTAAGGCAGGGAGCTGTGCAGCCTTAAAATCCCCTAGTCAGAAAGGAATGAGACAAGGCTCTCTGTCCAGAGACAGGTGATGGCTGGTGACCTGACTGGGCAGTCCTGGAGTGGACCATGAAGGTGGGGATACAGGTGCAGTTACCCTGAAACTGACAGTACCAAACAAGGTCCGGGCTCCGTTGCAGTAGGTACGGTACCCGCACCTTGCAAGAGATGGTCTCTGCCCCATGCGGCTTGCAGTCTCAACTGACGTCCTCCTGAATCAAACCATTAGCCTAACTGTTGTCTGTAACTTTTATTTTTGTGTAGGCTTGGAAGCGTTAGATTTTTATCCGTAAACGTCAATAAACATTGATTTCACCGTACACACACAAATTAAGGAACAAATCTTTCTATTGAAAATATAAATTTACGCATAGGCAAAGTACGAAAAAGGCTGCTTGAGAACTTTAGAGTTTGATTGAAGGCTAAAATGTTGACGTATGATATTGACAATTTGTGTTTTAACAGTTATACCGCTTAACTTTTTGAATCTCAACTTCTGTCATTAAATCATTAGTCCGACTCCCTCCATAATTTCCTGCGACAGTGGGAATTTAAATGGATAAAACTAAAAAAAGCTTAAAAATAAACATTGATATTAGCTGTTGAAATTATTAAAAAAATGAATTCTGCCAAGCGTGCTTATGTGATTAGATTTTTAGCTGTAAATAAATCTCCATAACAGGGTGGAGGTAAATCTATATCTGCAATGGAGGCCAGCTAGAAACAGTGTTCTGAACAAACGTCAAGAGACCCTAAAGAAAAAAATCCTAACCCTTTGTTTGGAGGGGATTTGATTGTGCGAATTGCGTGCATGTGCTGTAGTAAATGCTTGGGCTTAATTGGCCTCATAGTTGATGTTGGGATGATAGATATAACTCTGGGAAAGGTTAACTGAGACTGCAGGGGAATCGGCTTCTTGCGGGTGTTGGTGCAGAGACCCTATAGTAGCAAATGGGGAGATCTTGTGGTAGTAATTCCTGGCTCTTACCCATGGTTGATCCAGAAAGTCTCTAATTCCTATATATGCAGAGTTCTAGGGATGGGGAAGTAATCTCTTCATATTGCTGGAATCAGTTATGAGGATAACCCCGGAGTCTTACGTGCAGGGGAAAACCCGGCATATTGCTGGAACAGATCTAGCATTCCGTATCGAAATCTTGCAACACACAGATCTAAGGGGGTTGAGTTCCAGTGGTTAAGATCACACTCGTCACGCCAGACATGTTCTGAATGGTTTTTTTTTGTGCCTTGTTCGCCAGGGGATGCTTGGAGCTTCCGAACTCCTACGTGTGGGGAAACTTCACCGTCCTGGCTGTGGGGGTCTGGGCAATTGCTCAGAGGGATTCCATCGATGCAATAATCATGGTAAGTCTGGGGGCAGGCACCTTCCTGAACGGGCTCTGTAAGAGGGTGTTGTGGGGAAGACGTCCCTGCTTTTAAGGAGAGAGTAGCAAAAATTCCTGAGCGTCTATTCCACTTTTCAACTGTGCTCGGAATTGAAAAGGGCACTTCCGACTCTCAAGCGGCCAGATTTTCAGAATAGCTCAGCTCTCGTTTAGGCACTTACCTGAAGGTCAAATGTACTCAGCACCCATTGTTCCTAATGGGATCCGCTGGGTGCTGGGCACTCGTGGCCTTTACTGGAGGAACTCCTTAACCTTGCATCGTGTTAAACTCGCGACAGAAAAGACGCTGCCGACGCCACCCGCACCGCTTTAAAACAAACCACAGTGTTCAGCGTGTTTGTAGAAATAAATTGGACTGCGTCTTTGAAAGGGACACGTTCTGATTAAAAAAAATCAGTCTCTCAACTTCTTGCCTACTACTGGTAGAAGTAAGACCTAAGATGACTATAACTAAAATATATTGGAGAGAATGTTTTCTCCTTTTTAAGTCTTGTGTATTTGACAGCATTTTGTCCGGTCAGTTTCTGTGTTTCCCCTTGATATGCAGTTTATCCTGTTGTTCCCTCCCATTTGTGTAGGCCTTTCAGATAAGGGAAATAAATATGTTTTTTTTTAAATAGGAAATTTGATTGTGAAGCCACAAAAATTGGCAGGGGGAGTTAGGCAAGTGTAGGACAGGGAAAGTACTGTTAACTTTTTGAATTAACTAGGCCCTAATCCTGCAAAAACTTACACACATACTTCTCTTTAGGCATTGTGAGTGATCTTATTGAAGTCTGAGAAATGAATTACAGCAGTAAAGTTAAGTATGTGTATAAGTCTGGTGTCCACAGTTCATGAAGGACTAATAAATTGAAGAGAGTTCAAATCGGAGCCAGGAGAATGCTTAAAGGATTAGAAAACCTGCCTTATGGCGATAGACTCAAGGAACTGTTTAACAAGAGAAAATTAAGAGATGACTTGATAAGTTTATAAGTAGCTACATAGGGAATACATATTTGATAATGGGCTCTTCGGTCTATCTGACAAAGATCTAACAAGATCCTATGGCTGGAAGCTGAAGCTAGACAAATTTAGACTGGAAATAAGGCGTACATTATAACAGTGAGGGGAATTAACCATTGGAACAATTTACCAGTTCTCCATTAGCGACCTTTTTTAAATCAAGCCTGGATGTTTTTCCAAAAGATAGAATCTAGTTCAAACAAGAATTATTCTGGGTAAGTTCTATGACCTGTGTTATGTCACAGGTCAGACTAGATGATCTGGCCTTAGAATCTATGATACATCTTTACAGAATGTCTGCAAAGAGCGAGTAGCTGGTTAACGTAATATATTAAACAACAAATGTTTGCATTTTATTAACACAGAATATTGAATCTGCAAATTAAAAGAATGTAATGTACTCTCTATGCTTGAGCTTGGATACCACAGTGAGGGGCGGCAGTATAAAAGCACTAGGATAGACCATTAATGCTACATGTTAACTCTCAGCGTTTCACTCAGCTTTGGACAATGCAGAGAAGTGACTCAGTTTCCCTTTGCCTCTCATGTGCTAGCACAAAGCTACTGTTAGGGCCACAACCACTTTAGAGGAATATTGAAATCCTCACATACGGTATTCTTTTAAATCCAATACCACCTGAACTGCTAAGTGCTACTGCAGTACAAATATGAAATGTGTGTCCACCTTAGACATGTCAAATCTCATTTCATACCAACGCTAGGTTTTTGGAACTAGCCTGACTTGGCAAAGAGTCCCACCGAAGACTCTGATCTGCTCCCCACCCCCCCCGAGCTCAAAGTGCTACATGTGTTTTAAAAATAAATCTCTCTCTCACCCTGGAAAATACAAACAAGAAGGAAAAAAGGTCTGAGACAGGTGAGGAGGAAGAATTGTAAATATGAGACCAAGAGTCGTCCTATTAGGAAAATCCATCTTTTACAGGGAAAAGTGTAAGGTGTTAAGAAATTAGCAGGAAGGGGGTGAGACGCCTGTCAAGGGGGTGTGAATTCCATATGCTAGAGGCCACCATGGTTACAATTTCGTGCTGGCCTGGAGGTAAGGCAAAGTAAAGCCGGTGGCGAGTGCAGATCTTCAAGGATGGAGATGCGTTACATCCTGAGACTCTGATTTCCATTGGCTTGGGCTGTTTGGCTCTTGGTGGTGAATCAAATTTCCAATCAATATCCTTGTGTTTCTGATTTCCAGTTCCTGATTGGCCTGTTGATCACAATCCTCCTGGACATCATTAACATCAGCCTCTTCTATCCCCGGCATAGCTCTCTAAGTGACCTGGAACGCTTCAGTTCGGGCATGGCCATCTTCAGCCTCCTCCTCAAACCCTTGTCATGCCTCTTTGTCTATCAGATGTACCGGGAGCGTGGGGGAGAGTATGTCGTCAACCTAGGTAAGAGGCCACACATCCAGGTAGTCTGCCCTTTCCTGTTGTCAGTCTGGGCTTATCCTGCCTTCTGGATCCTTCACGTCTGCTCTCGGTCTGGGATATGCACAGCTGGATTCTGCCTGTTCTCTTGGGTCTCTCTCTTGCCCAGTCTGTGTTCTTGCCTTCTTGTGCTCCCAGTTTGTCTCATGCTTTGTGGGTTTTTTATGTTCTCCCTTTTTTCCCTTGCAGACCTGGAGTCCTCGTCCGACAGCCGCTTTACCTGTGACGGTATTGACTCCAGTGCTATCCCCCTTGTTCGACGTAACTGAGCTACCTGTCTCCTCTTCCTTCTCCCTTAGCTGTGTGTGTCCCATGGCCAGGCAGAAGCCTTTGTGTCTTTCTTCCTCACCGACCAGTTCTGTTCCCACTGGCTGTGACTGGGGCAGAAGGAGGGAGGAGAAGGGAGAAATGAAGGCCTGTTGAGAGAATGGGGGCAAGGTGTGGGGGTTGGATGCCTTACATATGAGGTCGCGTTGCCTAGACAATTGAGCATGGATATGAAAGTCTGGCTTCTCATCCCAGCCTTGCTGTGACACCTTGGGCAAATCGTTTTAATCTGTGTCTCAGTTTCCCCTTCTGAAACATGGGGCTAATGTCTACTTCACGGGGGGAGGGGGGTAATGTGTGTTGTGAGGAATAGTTGATGTCTCCAATGTCCTGGATAGGTGAAACATGTCTCTAGTTGACAATTCCTCAGTGACCTCCACAGAGAAAAGAGGGTGTTAGCTGCTGTGAAATGACCTTCTTCAGTATGTACGGGGCAAGCCCTGAGTCTGAACTCGCTGGCTTGCAAATCCCCACTGAGCTGTTCTTTTGGGGCATCCTGCAAGTGGAGGCTTCAAAGTGAATTCCGGCCCTGTTGGACTGTGCCAGTCACTAGCTTTGCCGCTACCCTCCCCCCCCTTCCTGCAGAGGGTACCATGCACTTTGGAGCCTGCTTTTTGCCTCCTAAAAACCTCTTGAACAGCAGCTTTCCACCCTCGTCTCTTTGGGAGCGGCTTGGGCTAATGCACCACTCCACCACCCCCGGCTCTGAACTCCCTGGCTGGTAGGAAAGTGGGGAGGTGTTAGAAGGTCCTTGCTTTGCTGCTTTTGCGCTACTACAGAGGATAAGGCCTCCCATGGAAGGGGGCACTGTAGAATCCAGAAGCTGGGATCAGCTTGGGCACCTGGGGATGCCAGCTGTCGGATTCCAGTCTCATCCCACCTAGTGTAATGGGGAACGGCTTTGATGCCTGCCAGTCTCTCTCCTGCCGCGCCGTTCATGAAGCTGCAAGCGGAATGCAGAGGTGCCAGTCCCTGTGGGTTCTGAGCAGTCTTGCCAGGCACTTGGGCACAAGCCACGTCCATCAGCTACTTGCTGTGCTTGTAACCCAGACTTCCCATCTACTTGCTTTCAGCAGGAAGAGTAGGTGTCGCTGAGCAATGAGTGCCGCTCCCTTCACCTCGCTAGGTTTTAGGGGCTGTCCCTTCCAGCCCAAGAGTGAGCCCTGCACGGCTCTAGCCTTACGCAGCTCCGTCACTCGACCGAACTCGATAAAAACTGTAGCACTAGTTTCCTGCACTAGCCCAAACTGGCTTCACTGCAGCCTTTCGGTACAAGGTGTGAGTCACTGATCCGAGGGTAACACGTTCACCAAACACCCCTTTCTGTTAGCTTTTCCCAGTGGCACCTTCGTGCCACCGGGTCTGTTCCACTGCAGTGCAACTATCCCCCATTGTTCCACTTATGTATTTTCCTGGTCACTACTTAGTCAGTTTCGTTCCATGCAGAATAGCCCTCTGTTGCTTGGCAGCTCCCCCAGCCCCCTGCCTGCTTTCAGCAGGGGCTGTCACACGTGTCAGTGACTAGCATTGATTTAAATAATTTTCTAGCTCATGACAGTTGATCAGCCTAGATAGACAAAAAGCTTCTCTCTCTCTGTCGTCGCCATGAGGCTGCATCAAGGCTCTGTAAGATGCTTCACACTGCAAACCGTGTTCGTAACATAATCAGGGCACAGTTGTATTTTAAGACTGTGCCCGAGTGTGATACACTTTGCTTTGTGACTGGGTCCTCAGAGAGATTGGGAAGAGAGACTGATGGGTGAATCATGCGTTCAGCTCTTCACTCATTTCTACCAGCCAGACATGGTGCCCCCTGTATTCATTTATTGCAGCGTAGGTTCAGTCTCCCCTGGCTCCCACAGGAAAGTGTGCAAACAGGCCGAAACAAACTATTTCAGCAGCATTTCTACTGTGAGTAATTGTGGGTCTGGCTATTTGACTCAGCCTCGTGGCTGCAAAAGCAGTACCTCTCAATGAACGAAAAGCAGCCCTGGCTTGGTCTGAGTGAGGATCTAGAACTCCTCACCTCCCCCTATTAAAATTATTTTGCTTTGGACCAACCCTTCTCCAGCTAGCTGTGCAACTGTATACATGCTCCTGGTACCCGTACTCCTTCCAGGAACTGTCTCGCTGCATAAGTGTTAGGCCACTTCTTCATGAGAAATCTAGTTGGACTGGAGGACCCACTTACAGTGTGATTGTACTACACCATTATTAAAACACCTGACACGCGGTTGTAACTGTAGAGGACCTTGGGGCATCAGTGTTTATTTTTCAGAGCTAATGGCAACAGCGAGGTGTCTAGAATTAGCCATACTGCAGCAGCACGCTGGTCCGTCCCTTCTGCTATCCTGCACCTGCCCATTGACCATTTCTGCTTCAGAAAAACTCTGTAATGCAACTGGCAAATGGTGCCTTGCTAAGCAAGGAGGTTGGGTGAGGGAGTCCTTCCTGCCCCCAGTGCTCATTGTCCTCGGAAGGAAGAGTGCTTTTACTTGAATGAGCGTAATTACAAGTAGCATGTGTCACAAAATTCCTTAGGTGCAAGGAAAGCAAGGGTGCAAATCATGTGATGCAGTGCTGGACTGCACATTCAGTTTATGTGACTTCCTGAGCGGGCATTGTCTGAAAGCTTCATCTCTTCCTCCCCATGCAGGTTTCCTCAGCGTGGGCCGGGATCGCAGCTCATACCAGTCGATTGATCAGCACAATGCACCTTGCCCGTACCCTGATCTGGACAGCAAGCCACCCCCACATCCCTTCTGAGGCTGCCCCCCCTCCCTTTGCTGGAAACAGAGAGCAGGATCTCACTGATGTCCCCTACCCAGCAACAAATTAAAAACTACCACTCCCTGTTTTTTTCCCCCCTATTGGAGTAGGCTCTAAAATGAGCAAACAACAGAGGATCTAATTTTACTCTCCTCCTTTTGAGCATCCATCCCTTCCTGAAGGTGTGTAAGTGGATTGGGTCCTGCAGTGAGTTCAGAATGTCCCAGAGAAGTCAGTTTAAGAACCATAGGTCTGTCTAACCCTACCACGCCGTGCCCCACAATGTCACTATTGACTGAAGAATGGCAAGAACCTTCCCTGTAGTCTCCCAGATCGTACCCTCTGCAGCTCCTGCATCACCGATACACCTCGCTACCCAAGATGTTCATGAAGAAGCTGGCTTAAAAGGCTCTTTTAAATGTTCATCTGATTGGGCAGCAGTCTACTGAGCCAGTGGGGGTGGCCTTGGTCACGTGGATAAATCTCACAAGCGATTGCCGCTGGAGTTCAGACACTCTCCTGTTTTAGTAAGGTTCGGTGGACGCGTATAAAGTTGTGTTCATGCGAGTAACTGCCCAGGCTAGCTGAGAGTAATTGCACACGGCTGGGCGGAGAGAAGGTGGGCCTGCAGGGCCAATGAGTTCTTATGCTCCCTCTGCCTAGTCTTGGGTTTTCATTTGTTGTTTGTATGCAGGTGGCAAGGCCACAGGGACACTGTGTGATGACTGTTACTTGTGCGTTGTAAATATGTTGTGCCTTAAAACACACTTTTTGCCTTCACTTGGCATCTAAATAGAACTAAATTTTTTCTAAAATAAAATGAGCACCTTACCGCTGACAGAATTCTGTGTTAAAAATTACACCACTCGCCCCACTGCCTCATCTGTAATGTGGGAAATTCCTGATGAGTTAGAATTAAGCCCAGTGGCATGGGAGAGGAGTAAAAGAAAGAACAGGCTTTTATTTCCACTCGGTTACTGGTTCGAGTCCAGCACAGGACCTTGTAGGGAAGTTTGCATTGTAGTTAATCAGGGTGGAGTGGATGATGTGTCTTTCTGGGACTGCCACAGAGATAAGGTCTGTCTCATGCGGGTGTCCCAGTAGTAGGGTGACCAGATAGCAAGAGTGAAAAATCAGGACAGAGAGTGGGGGGTAATAAGTGCCTATATAAGAAAAAGCCCCCAAAATCAGAACTGTCCCTATAAAATCGGGGCAGCTCGTCACCCTACCCAGTAGTATCCCATTTTTAAAAGATACTGCAAGTCCTCTAACCATCTCTTGTATTCTTGTTATTAGTAATCATCAGACTTCACATTTTTTCTAGTGCCTTTTGTGGGAAAATCACTGTGGCTTACAGACAAATCACAGCATCCCTGGAAGGCAGGTGCACCGTATTCAATGGATTGCTAAAGGGACGCAGCGTGCCTAGAGTCCTACCCCAGCTCACCCAGCAAATCAGTGGCAGAGCTAGTGCTAAAACCCTGGAATCTTGGCTAATGATGTACTCTAATAATTAAATAACACTGTTAGAAGAGACCCCTTATTTGAATATAAGCACAAGTACCCTTGTATTCAGATATACTAGATTTAGCAAAAGTGAACAAATGTAGCATATGCCAGCACGCATACCGCTGCTGCGGCTCTGAATGCAGGCTTTATTCTGTGCCTGCAGGAGTGTACAAAATCCAGTATTTTCCAGAGATCCTCCTTTTTAAACTGACAGGATACCCTCAGACACAAATACAGAAGGTAGCCATAGGCAGCGAGTTCTATGGGCCCGTGGTGCCTGAGCTCCACCAATATTCAGGAATGTGGGCCCGGCACCCCCAGTGTTTGGGCTTATAGTTAATAAGAGCCGTCCTGTCCATAGGATGGACTGGGGCAACTGCTTTGGGGGGGCTCCACACTTCAGGGGGATGCGGGGTCCAGGGCAGCTTGGAGGGTTAGCAGGGGGCCTGGCACCAGCAGCAGCGAGAGACCCCGGCCCCCGCCTGCCCCGCTCCCACTCCACCCCTTCCCCCAAGCCCTGCCTATTCCCGCCCTTGCTCTGCCCCCATTCCACCGCTTACCCCAAGCCCCACCCCACCTCTTTCCGGCTTCCGCCCTCTCCCACAAGCAACGCCAGGAGCCGGCAGGGCGGAGGGCGGCAGGCTGGGTTGCTTGCTGCTGCTGGCACCAGGCCCCCCCCCCCAGGCCTCCCTAGACTGCAAATCCCCCTGAAGTGCAGGGCCCCCAAAGCGCGGGGCCTGAGGCGATTGCCTGGTCAGTCCTATGGACGGGACAACTCTGCTTGGAACTGTTCTGGGCACCACCAAAAATTATAAAAATCTGGTGCCAATGAAGGTGCCAGGTGGAATACACCCACACCCCGTAATTTGCAGGGTTTCGGTTCTAAGATGTTGACTTGCCCTACGTTCTTCATTATTGGCTGGGGACAGTTTTCGGGATTCAAAACAACTATCTTTGTTGCTGTGTTACTTACATTTCCCACTCTGCTGCCAAGAAATAATAGCAATTAAAAAACAGAGGCACAGCTTTTGTAGGACCTAAGTAGAGCCCAGCCTGGGTGAGTGCTCTCTCTGGAGCCAGCACCTTTTGCAGATACAGAGAACCTGCAGTGTCTTATCTTTAAAAGCTGGAGATTTGGTGGGGAGGGTTCTGACTCATGATTTTTTGATGGCTGGGGGTTGGCAAGTTATGCCTGGTAAAGGCCCCTACGAAGTGGATGTTATGACCCTCATTCATGGATGGGGAAACTGAGGCACAAAGAGGTTTCTCTCCCCCCCCCCTTTTCTGGTGGTTTTGTTTTTAAACAAGATCAGGCAAGTCTGCTGCCCAAGCAGCTCACCGGAGGGCTTTTACCCCCGGGGCTCACTGAATTCCCACGCTGCTGTCTATGGCTTGCGTGGGCCAGGCCCCGGGGCTGCGGCCAGGAGGGAGGCGGCGCTGCAGAGCAGGGCCCGGCCCCTGGGAGCTCTGAGGGCCGAGGGAAGCCGCTGCCCCCGGTCTGCCGAGCGTCGCGGGCTCCCTGCCGGGGCCCTAGCGGGGAGTCTCCGGCTCTATTCAGTCGTGGGCCCCGGCCCCCCTCGCTCGCCCCGCCCCGCCGGTGACGGGCTGAGAGCCGCGCCCGGTTCGAAAGGGGGCGGGAGACAGACAGACGGACCGAGCCAACGGCCGGCAAGAGGCGCGTCCCCCCAGCACAGACAGACGGACACCCGGTAGGACCCCCCCCCAGCACAGACAGACACACACAACAGCTCCCCGCCCCCAGCACAGACAGACGGACGGACACCCGGTAGGACCCCCCCCAGCATAGACAGACACACACACACAACAACCCTCCCAGCACAGACAGACACACACAACAGCTCCCCCCCCAGCACAGACAGACCCACACACACAACAACCCCCCCAGCACAGACACCCAACAGCTCCCCCCCAACACAGCACAGACATCCGGTAGGACCCCCCACCCCAGACAGACAGACAGAAAGAGAGTAGTAGCCCTCTGCCCCCCAGTACAGATGCACTGAAATACATAGAAAAGAAGAAGACCCAAGGGTGTTAAAAGAGGGCGTGAGAAAGATAGCAGGAGACCAGAGGTGGCTCAGACAGACTGTTCAGCACAGACCCAGGGCAGGAGGGAGGGAGGGAGACAGACAGGCCCAGGCAGGCTGCTTCTCCAGCAGTGCAGAGGGGTACGTTGAGGCGCACACCCAGAGGGTCCTGCCCTATAGGAAGCCAAGGGATAACTTCAGGGATGTGCTGTTAATGGGTAAACCTCATTCTGGCTGATTCAGTGGGATAGCCGGGAACATCTGGATGCTCCCCTGGCCCGTAGGCCTTCC